GGGGAACAAACAAATAAAAAAAAATATTTACATGTAATATTCGTTTAGCCACCATATCGTTTGTGTTAACTTTTCATCACAACAACAACCACAATAACAACAACAACAACAACAATAATAATAATAATAATAATAATAATAATAATAATAATAATAATAATAATAATAATAATAATAATAATAATAATAATAATTCAATGAGACTAATTAAAAATAATTTGCGTTCTGTTATGACAAATGCTCATTTAGATAGCCTCATGATGGTTGGAATACATCGCGATAGGTAAAGCAACCTCGACCATGACAACGTGGTTGACAGATTTCATGCAAAATTTCCAAAATATAGAATTTCACTAAGAATGAGGATTGAAAATAAATTAGATGGTCACATTGCATACAGTACTCTTTGTTTCTTGCTTTATTCAAAATGTTTTGGTTTTGGAAGCTGATGTCAACATTAGAAAGCATAGCCTACATGAAGTCATAATATAGCAACTCCCTGATTATAGTAACTCGATGCCTATCAAATAAGTAATAAAAATTCGCCATAATTCATCAAATATCCGTGGCTTCCAGGGGGGCTTCTCCCCCTGGACCCCCACCGGGGGCCCTAGGCGCCCCTCCCCCCAGCCAAGTGAGACTCGATTCGCTCCACTATCCCCCCTACCCCGTCGGGGCTTTTAGCCCCTCCGTCGGGCAGGTCCTGGCGCCACCCCTGGTCGCAGTCCGGTCATACGATTCTGCGCTTTGGTGTCGGTCATTAAATTTTATTGTTTTGATTTATCTAATGCCAACCTGTTGTATCTCATGGATAATGGCAACGATTTCTACCTCTGTAAAAGGAGGTTATGTATTCACAGTAGTGTAACGCTGTCATAAGTTTTTTAGGTCCAGCCGTACGCGGCGCCCCATAGTTTGTATTCCCACATTGCATTTCGGTGGAACAGTTTTTTTCTGCGGAGAACTCTATCTTGTGTTTCTAGTATCTTTGGTGATGCCTCCTGCTTGTACTATGTTTTTTAATAGGTACGGGTGAAAACTTTCTATGTTTTATGTGCTGTAGTATCATGATGCAGTTGGACTAAATCTAAACCTACCAAAACAGTACTGGTTTTAAATACGCCTAATTGTTATTCTCATGGATTGACCTTTAGGTTCAAATCAAATATGGTAAGCACTAAGCCTAGTAAACTTGCGCTAAGCTAGGCTAGCCTACGTAGTCTGGGCATAAGACTAGGCTAGGCTAGGCCTTTGCCAGGGCTAATTCATGATTGTAAGCCTAGCCGTTGCATGAAGGTCAGGCCCATAGCCTAGTACTAGGACCTGCCTAGTCGAGTTAGCTACTACAACTAAGCCAAGGTAAGCATAAGCTAGATTAGGCGACGCCTACCTAGTAATAATGTAGGGTATGGAGGTACAGTACTACTACTAGGCCTATATAGAACTTCTCAGCAACAGGTGTTTATTCTTTTAATTAAATCTCTAGTTTAGTAGGGCCTAGGCTAGGCCTACTGTCTGTAGCCGGCCAAGGCCCTAGACCCAAAAAACTACATGGTGGAGAAAACAAATCAGTATAAATGCTTAGGGTGGTGAATATGTTTTAAAAACATGCACAAAATGACAAGATGTGTATTGTATATGTGTATACGGAACAGTCTAATAACATAGAATTATGCACTTTATATTATAAAAAATAGAATATGTACATTTGCTAATTTTAATTTAAATTACCACTGTTGTATTGTAAATTATACTTTATAATCATTGGACTTGCAAATTCTTGGGTATTTTTATTTAATTTCAAATTATCAATCTTATTTTTCAACTTAATCCTTGCCAGTGGTGGATCCGAGAATTTGAATTACGGGGGCCCAGAGAGGGACTACTTTCACAGATGGTGGGTCAATACTACCTCAGTCCCACCATGGTTGAAGCTATTAGTATCTTAATTTTCATTCAAAATTTACAGTCAAGAATTGATACATAGACAACAAAATACAATAGACAACAAATTGTGGGCAAGGTACAGCTACAGTACCTGTAAATCAAAAACCTTAAAATGCTGTACCACCTAATAATAATACATACATAAAGAAATAAATATATAATAACATTAATTCAAAACCCATTTACTGTACACCCACCCACTGTACAATAATAATAAAAAGCATGAAACAAAATGTCTATAGTCTAATACAATAATAATGCTATAGATTTGCCTCAATATAGAAGTGGTTAGGAATTTGCGCACCTATATTTTTAAATTTCCACACAATTAATAGTTTCTAATGTAATTGTAATGCAAATGACAGTAATACCTTTCAATGGGGCATTATTAACAGTAGTATATGCAGACTTGATGTGAGGTGGAGTAAGCCTATAACAGTAAAGATACATACAGAATAAAAAAACTTCTTGAATAAGTTGGAATTGAAATTATTTCAATTTTTTCATTCTCATAACCTCCAAAAAAGACAATAAAAATAAACATCAATAAACTTTAAGGTGGGGCCCAGTACAGGGTACTGTTATCCATAGGGCTCTCCATAACATTCAGAATGTGTTGCACAACAAGAAAAGCTACTGTTAATACTACTACCAGCAATTATGCAAAACCATAGAATGCTGTCTAACCCACAGCAATAAAGTCACTATCTAAGAAGTCACAAAATCTAAGAAGATAATTGAATTGAAATGCTGACTAATTGCTTTCCCCTGTAGACATCACATTATCCTCATGCTTGTACTGCTATGCTTGTTTTCTATCTTTTATACAGTATATTTGAATTTTTGATTTAAATTGAAAATTAAATGATAAAATCTAGTTCACACAATGGTGTGCTACCTATTAAAACATAGCTTTCTGTAAATAATATATAACAGTTTTTTTAGCAAGTAAACTTGATAATTTGTTTTAATTGTTTATTCTAATATCACACCATGGAGAGGCTATGCTTTTACTGTACAGCGTAAAAGGAGCAATTTTAGTGTTAATACTTAATTTTCAACATATTCTTTGTAGATCTTTTCACAAAGAGTACATATTTCGGATAGTGCCTTTCTAGATACATTATTAGTTTTAATTTAAAATTGTCTTAGCCATCCTGGCACTGCAGTGCCAGGATACTTAATTTTCACTAATGTTTTAAATTCTTTTCTGGAAATAGAGGAGGAATCTTTGAGTTTCATAGCATTTTAGGTTTCAATTAATTCAGTCTTTGTGTTTTAGAGCAGCATGGACCTCACAATCAAACCTGGGAGGCATTTTTATTGTAGGTCATATGGTAGGCACAAGATCATGGAGGGCACCATCAATTTCAATTCAATTGCCACCTTTTTTGCTACCTTTGGATGGGCTTCTTTTCAAGTTGGGCTTCTTTTCTAGGCTACTTTTGCAAAATAAATAAGGGGCTTCTTTTCAAAATGAATGGTGAAAAAATTTTGGGAATTACTACTATAAAACAATAAATAGGGCTTGTAACATCAGTCTGTATCTTAGGAGTGTATTAACCGGCATTAAATCACCTAAACTAGGTTGGAGATGGGCTTCTTTTCGAAGCTAATTTTTGTAAACTAAAGAGGGCTTCTTCTTGAGATTAAGCCCATTGGGCTTCAATTTGAGGTTTTACAGTATTTGTATACTTTTACACTTCACTTAATAGTAAGGATCATACACTGACACTTCACATTAAAGCCATTAATATTCATGTAACTTATTACCATTCACAGATTGTTTACCATGAGTCATACAAGCTATGCATATTCATTAGTTTACGATTTAGTTTAAATAGTACTGTAAAGTAGAATGAAATATCCTGATCTTGTGACAGCTTGATCCAAAGAGCAAGGGTAATAATGTGAAGTGCTTAGAGGCTTTGTTGGCATTAAGTTGTGTAAGTCTAAATATTAAATATTAGATAATGTAGGAGATATCATATTGGGTCTTGTTTTTTATTTTTTTTGTTTCAGGCTCAAAATAGCTGGATAGAAACATCAATACTTAAAAAGGAATGCAAGCTGTTTTCACCAAGTGGTAGAGATTCTTACAGGTGCAGTATATTGCATTGCACAGATTCATGCTTCTTGATTTTGATATCTGCACAATATTTATATTTAATACTACTCCATAATATAAAGTACTGTAATAATCATCAACGGTTTTTGTTTTTTTCAGATGTGGCTGTGGACGTTCCCAAGCTTTACACAGAGTGAGCAAGCAAAACAAAACAAGAGAAGCATGGTCAACTAAAGTGAACACCATAGAGCTTCCAACGGATTCATATGGACAGATGGAGTTTCAAGGAGGAGGACATGGAAACAAAGCACAGGTTAGTTAAATTTGAATTCAGAGGGAGTGGAAGCAAATTTCACTAAAGCATGTGCTATTTAAATGAAATTCTGAGTAAAGGAAAACAAAGCACAGGTTAGTTAAATTTGAATTCAGAGGGAGTGGAAGCAAATTTCACTAAAAGCATGTGCTATTTAAATGAAATTCTGAGTAAAGGAAAACAAAGCACAGGTTAGGTAAATTTGAATTCATAGGGAGTGGAAGCAAATTTCACTAAAGCATGTGCTATTTAAATGAAATTCTGAGTAAAGGAAAACAAAGCACTGGTTAGTTAAATTTAAATTCAGAGGGAGTGGAAGCAAATTTCACTAAAGCATGTGCTATTTAAATGAAATTTTGAGTAAAGGAAAACAAAGCACAGGTTAGGTAAATTTTTAGAAATTGCTATACACCACAATTAATTATCTAACTTTTCTATGCAATTCTTCGAGGCCTATAAGCTTTATTTAGGAGCTTTTGATCAAAGAAATTTAATCCTTTTTTTTTAAAGTTAATGTATGACGTGTTATATGTAAATCTTGATGTTTTGTCTAAATTGACATGCAACCAGCTTCTTTTTAGTGCCATATTTTTGTACTTCTGTAAATTGTAACTTGTTTGTTTCAATAAATGTTTCAACTCTCTCTCTTTAGTTAAATTCTGAGGGTGTGGGAGCAAATGGCAACCAAGAACAGGTTATTTATATCAGAATTCAGAGAGAGTTGGATAAAATAAAACTAAACAAGTTATTCAGTATGGATCCTTATTATTAACACTCCTTCAATGTTTTAGAATATTTATTTGTCAAACTTATCAATTTTCCCCCGAAAACTGGCTTTATACAGTAGCATTGGATTTATATTTGAAATAGAAATCATAGCTGCTACTATTACCATACAATATGCTTTTTTTTCTTACCAGTTTTTACGTCTGTCGGATGAGACACCGAGTGAAACAATATACAAACTACTATCCAAAACCTATAAACTTGACATCCCAAATTTGGTAATATCTATACGTGGTGGTTTTCGCAACTTTGACTTACAACCTAAACTAAAATTAGTATTATGCAGAGGACTTAAAAAGGCAGCTAAAACAACAGGTGCTTGGATTATTACCACTGGTATAAATTCAGGTGAGACAAAGTGCAGTTTAATAGATATCTATAGTTATAACATTCAATAATACTTTACTAGTGAAGGTAAAGGTAGGAGAATATACCCATAACTCACAGTGCCATGGTGCTGAATTGCGTACAGGCATGGTGCTGAATTGCGTACAGGCATGGCCCGTCACCTCCTAGCTGCTGTAAAGTGGCGCTTATATGTAGCTATAGTACATGCTCACATCATTACACGACAGGGGCTGAAATGGACCATAGCATCAGGGTAACCCCCTACTTTTCCGAAAGATGCAATGGGTTCTTTAAAGTGCACATAAGCAAGATGTATACTGGACCTCCATTTTTCCTTATCCAAGAAGACTTGGTAGGAATAATAATAATAATAATAATAATAATAATAATAATAATAATAATAATGCAGTACCTTCTATATTGAATGCTACTTCTTGGCATTAAAACCTCATCTTCTTTATGAACAAGTTTTAAGATTTTATTTGTGCAATTTTTAATGTTTTATGGCAAATACAGTAAAATGATATTGAATCTTTACACTTCTCCATCTCCCATAAGTTTTTGACAGTTATATTGTTTATTTACTTTTTTAGCTTAACTGCCCAATCACCACCAGCAGGACCCCACTGAAAACAAGTCTTTGGAATTTCATGGGTTCCAATCCAATTCAATCAAAATACTCATTTATTATTATGATAATTGTTATTCATAGGTGTAACTCTGCATTGTGGAGAAGCACTTGACAACCATTCTGTCAAAATGAGAGGGCGTGTTGTCACCATAGGTATTGCTCCATGGGGAATACTCAACAAGAAAGAAGCGCTCATTGGAAAAGGAGTTAGTATTATCATAGATTATTATAACATTAATTTATATATCTTTATTTTATTTTTTTATATTTTCTTATATATAAATTTTTTGAGACATTGACTTTTATTCATACAAAGTTTTCAGTACCATCTGCTGATGAAGTTATTAGTATGAATAAATATTATTGTCTCAAAGTAGTCAAAGTTTATCGCAGTACTTTTAGTCTGTCAATTTCCAGACTATCTGGCCTACTGTATGACTGGATATCAGACAGCAAAGGCACATGCGCACAAGATTCGTTGCCCGGCCGCTGGTTATCTCAATATTCCTCATCCCAAACTCCATTCATTCAAATCATCTTTCAGTTACCAAGCTCCTTCATTCTGGAATACCGTCACCACCATACCTGCATACAACACCTTTAAAATGCACATCAAGCAACACATTTTAAACTTTTATTATTCCCCTTTTTCTTAGGTTTTTTCCTGTGGGGGTCCGGGTGTTTGTGTGTGTGTTGGTGTGTGGGTGTGTGTGTTTGTTTTTAACTTTGTCTGTTTTGCCTGTTCTCTTTCTTTTCCTTTTTTATTTTTTTAGTATTTTAATGTTTGCTGTTTTAAATTTTATGATTAAATTGATAGATTGGATATATTTTTATATACTTTTTATATTTTTGTATTTAAGTGGGCCCCTGAACATCAGGTTTATTCTGTAAGGGTCGCCCACTCTAAATATGGTTTTAAATAAATAAATAAATAAAACCATTTGTTTGTTTTATTCTTTCTCCACATAGTACATAAGAAATCACATCAGCATTAGTAATATAGTACAAAAATTATAGCCTTTCAAAAATGATAGCCTTTCAAAATACAGATCATATAAATTAAGGGGTAAATGGGTAAGAAGAAAATCCAGACATTTTAATTTAATGTTTGCAAAAATTGTAAAGTACAAGACATTCTCTGTGTTACTTGCTATAAACAATCATATTAGTAATTTCACTAAAACAGTTAATTTTCACCTATGCAATATTGCTAACTTTGGGAAAAATCTTCCTAAACACACTACTGCCAATTTAATCAATGCCTCTGTCATTTCTCTTCTTGATTATTGTAACTCACTTTTTTCTGCACTACCAAAAGCTCAGCTAACCAGAATACAAGGTCTTCAGAACACTGCCGCACATAAACTAACACTTTCTAATAGATGATCGCACATAATGTCCTGTTATCTATAATTTGCACTGGTTTCCCATTAATTCACAAATGAAGTAGTATTCTACTTACATTTAAAGCACTGCGACTCCGACAGCCCACTTAACCTACTCGACCTCCTTCGTAAATATGTTTCAAGATTTTACACCAATCCTACGGTCACAGGTCATTTTTATTTTCAACTGCCACTCTTTGGATCTCCCTCCTTAAATATTGCTGACTCACCTTTAGTTGCTATCTTTAAGACCAAACTCAAAACTCACTTTTTAACATCTAAACATGCAGAGCACCTTTGATTTTTACTTCAGTTTAGTGATATTGGTGCTTTATAAATGATTGATTATTAGGCGGCTATTTTTGAAGGTACAGAGAGAACTACAAGAAAGTATAATACATACCCCAAGTATTGAAATACATGCCATTGTGTTGGGATTCAACATTATGTCATCATCATATGCTGACATAATTAATGTTAAAATATTGAATCCCAACATGATGGCGTATATTTCAACACTGGGAGTATGTATTATACTTTCTTATCTAAGATTAGTCAGTGGATATTTTGGTGTTTAGGAGAACTGCTATTTGCAATATTCCGAGACCAGAAGGTAGCACCATAAACACAATATAAACATGAAATGAATAAGTAATAACAATACTCAAATTAGGAACATGATGTTATAATTGTATCAAGCATAGCCCTTCAATGAAAAGTTCTTTTAATTCAGTTATGAAACAAGGTATCTCTGTGTGGATTTGAAACTGCAACCTCTGCTATCAGGGTGAATGTCATATCCATTAGACTACCAAGACCTATAGGATATATGTGCAGATTTAACCCCCAGGCGCTTTCTCCAATACAATGAATGTTTCTATATATTTAAGGGGCAGCTGACTCTTTTGAGTTACAGTAATTAATTTGCTTTAGCTGTCCCTGACCATCGTGTTGTTTCTCGTTGTCTTGCTTTTCTTTTGTGTTCTTGGTCGAATAAATAAATTAAAAATGAAAAAAACAACTGACTGAAATGCTCACACATAGTGGAGCTAGAGATAAGCTAGAAAAGCTTAATAGGTCGCAGCATGGAAATCATACTAAATAATATTATAATTAGGTCTGCTACATCAATCAATCAATCAATTCTTTATTCATCAAAAAAGTTTTTTTCTTAACGATAACAAATAGCACCGAAAACATAATATATATTTAAACAAATGAATAAATAATAATAATATTGCTCAAATTAGGAACAAGATGTTATAATCGTATCAAGCATAGCCTTTCAACGAAAGGTTCTTTTATTCAGTTATATGAAAAAAAAAGTGTTGGCGGGATTCGAACCTGCAACCCCTCGCTATAAGAGCGAGTGTCATGTCCATTAGATCACGGAGACCTATAGGATATACGAGCAGAGTTAAGGCCCACGCATCTTCTGTCATCACAACTTATTGATTTTACAATCATTATCGTACATTTTAATGTCTATTTTCCATGCTGGCACAGGTTTAGATGGGGTAATTCTATTTGACTCTCTTGTGCAAATGTTGGGTACATTCTTTAGCAGCAACTTCTCTTGGAATTACCTCATCCCTCATGCCTCTTTATTCTCTATGATGGCTATGAACAATGACCTCCTGACACAATTATTGTCATCTTCTCTTTCAACTCACCATCACACAATGTCACATTCAAATGATGTCAAAGTGGAGTTGAATAGCTCAGGGGTTAAGATGCTCGCCTTCTAATCCCAGGCTTCTGAGTTCAATTCCTGTCACAGCAGGACTTTCTTATGACCAAAACAACTCCGCTCTCTAATCTTCATAAAGAGACTTAGTTTATAAAGCATCATTCCATCCTGTAAGTGGTTAGTGTACTTGCTGTTGAATGTGAAGAAAAATTTAAAAAAAATTTAAAAATTATAAATTATATCCTGTATCTTGTAGGTGTCAACCCCATACCACACTGTTTCATGCCCTCCAAGTAAAGGAGTCAAGTTGAACAGTCATCATACACACTTTTTACTGGTTGATAATGGTACAATGGGTCAGTTTGGAACAGAAATAGCATTACGTTGTAAATTTGAACAGTATATGTCTCAACAAAGACTGCCCTCAGGTGAGTTTGTCTCTAGGTTTTTGATGTAAATCACTTTATTTTAAATATAAAAATAGTAAGTAGAATAATTCAATGAATTTATAAATTGAAATGCAAGAGAAGAGGAATCTGACAAAGACTGAAAAAAATCAGCCTTCTCTGGGACTCGAACCTGCGACATGGCAAAAGTCAACCACTTGACTATAAAAGCATTTTGGTGATCCAAGCGTCAGTAGAATTCAAGGTCCTTTATTTATTTTTTTTTATTTGTTCAACAATATTTTGAGAGGGTGGCTTTAAAAGCAATGCTGACTTGAAGAGGCGCTCTTTTAAAATGAATTGCTAATTTTAATTTAAGTAGGATATAAGTTTGGAATTAAAACAATTTAAGAAACGTTAGGATCATGGGTGGCGCTAGCGGGGGTCCAGTCGAGGACCTCTGGACCCCCGCTTAGACCCCTGTCATGGAATTTCCAGCTTCGTTGTCGGGGAGAAGTGGGGCCGGTCGGGAAAACAATAACCTAGGTGGTCCGCAGCCCTGCCATAGCGAAATTTTTGTTTTCTATTTGTCTGAAAATAATCTCTGAGGCGTTTTGGGAGGTTAATTATTTTTTTTTCTTCTTTTAACTTTACAAAAGGTGGGGCCGCGTTAAAATCTAAAAGTTGCAAGAACAATGAATGGCATTCAAAAACAGTAAACAACAATAAAAAAAATTGATAGTAATTGTTATTGTCGTGATGGAATAATAGACAATAACTGGACTTGCGTCAGGAGAAATAAAAAAAATTAAAACTACAACTGAAAAAATATACATTGCACTCAGAAACTAATAAAATGCTATGAATTGCTAATTTTCATTAAAATAGGCTATAGGTTTAGACTTAAGAAAATGTAAAGATCAAGAAAAGATAATGAATAATGAGTCTGCAGTGATACACTCATCCACGTAAATGTGGTTGGTACACTTGACATTTACGAGGTGGGAAAATATGTCTTCATCCCGTTCTATAGTACTACACATAGGGCCTGTTTCTACTGGAAAGAAAAATTTGATTAAAGATCACTTTTTCAAAAAATTACTTTTTTTCTCACCAGTTCGAATAAAGCAATTAAATAAAAGCGATTATAAACAATGGCAAATAACTGATTTTTGTTGTGCACTTTTTAGCTGCAACACAAAAGAGCAATTATCAAGTGAAATGTGACCTTCAGGTCATAGTTCATCATCAGTTCTTCATTCATCTTCAGGTCTTCAGTTCATAGTCCTCTTGTTCATGTCCTAGGCCTACAAGCTAAAATGTCCACGAACATGTGGAGCATCAAAATGACTCGTTTTGTAATATTGTGGGGGATATTGGGTCTCTCCACTCTTCTGGGAGTACTGTTGTCCTCGTTTGTTCACTTGTTCATTGTGCCGATGAGCACACCGTATCCTTCTCCCTGTCATCAAGACCAGAATTCATGTGAAGTATATTGTCTTGTTGGTGAGAAAGAAACTCTACAATTTGGAAAACATGTATAAACAAAATGGTAACGTAATTAAGACTTTATTTATGTTTGAATGTTTTCAGGCCGAATGTTACCTGTTATTGCTGTAGTAATAGAAGGTGGTGTTAATACTATACATACCATTAGGAAACATGTGAACAGTAATCCGCCAATCCCTGTAGTTGTATTTGATGGCACAGGACGTGCAGCAGACATACTTGCATTTGCGTATAAGTACACAAATGAAGGGTAAGTAATTCAAATTCTCCATGTCACTTGTTTTTAACTGTTTCCAGTAGTAGAGTGACACCATGTGTATTTCATTGTATATTGTTCTACTCATTTTAATAGTAACTTCTGTGGATGACTGCCCTCAGTAAAATGGCATGGTTGATATCTGTTAAGTAATTGTACAAACTGGAAGCATTCAACAAATAAATACAAAGATAATCCACACCATTTTTACAAGATAAACACAAGTTTTAGCTGCGATAGTCTGCTTTTTGGTAATACTGGTAAACCCATAAAAACTTACTTGATTTGCTGCTATTATAACAAATATAAATAAAGAAGGCCAATTTAAAATTAACAAGGTAATCTGAGATTACAAACCCTTGCACTGCTGCACCATATTTATGTAGTGAAAAAATATGGCCCTTGACCTAGCACCATAGGCCAAACAACTTGGTCGATCGATCTGCTCGAGTTGGTTCGGCCTAGCCAAACGACTTGGTCGATCGATCTGCTCGAGTTGGCTCGGCCTAGCCAAATGACTTGGTCGATCGATCTGCTCGAGTTGGCTCGGCCTAGCCAAACGACTTGGTCGATCGATCTGCTCGAGTTGGCTCGGCCTAGCCAAACGACTTGGTCGATCGATCTGCTCGAGTTGGCTCGGCCTAGCCAAATGTCTTGGTCTATCGATCTGCTCGAGTTGGCTCTATCAGTTGCAGCCACAAAATAAATAAATAACGTACTAAAATCTGCATCTTACTTTCGATCAGCACCAAATTCGAGGAGGACTGATACATGTAATATTGTCAATGTGTGAAAATTAAAGTGAAGTAAATCGCTGCAGATTAGTTTTTGAGTTATGTGCACAGAAGGACACACAGGCAGTCACAAACACAGATGCACGCTATTCCAATACCCTTCAACTCTTCTTTGGGAGTCCTCTGGATCAATTTAGCTTTGCTACAAAGTAGATGATGGCTTTTACAACTTATTTTAGTAATCTAGTAAGGAATAATTGCAATATAGTGTATAAATGATGATGGCAATAATGATGATAATAATAATTAAATAAATGAATTAACAATGAACAAGGGTATTTATTTTATTTAATATAAATGTAGACTTGAATAAGTGCATACATGTATTTCCCTAGCCTTCGTCCATGGAGTGGACGTTGTCAGGAGACTTTCAGCTAGGAAACTGTCAGAAAGCTGTGATAAAATATATGTATATAGTTGGTGTGTAATGTGGTACTACTAGTAATATTTTTACATGATTATGTTTGTACCATTTCATGAGTTTTTTATGTAATACTTAGGTCAATAATTTGTTTGAATTATTTCTTATGCTTCTGATGGGTGTTTAGTTTTTGCATCAATTATTATGTGAGTTTTCTTAAATTAAGTAAAAAAAAATCTGTCTATAAATTTGACCATGTAGGTGATCATTTTTTGGCCAGTTACTAGTTTTTTGTTTATCATGAATGTCTTTATATTTTATAGATCCATGGACAGTAATATAGCAAACCAAATGATTGACACACTAGTTCATACATTCCATTTGTCAACAGAGGGAGCCCATAACTTGTTGAAAGAACTTATAGAGTGCGTAAAGAATAAAGAACTGGTAAGACAACACAGAAAATTTTTTTGGTCTCTTTTTAGATGAAGGAATGTTGGTTTGTTGTGTTCAAGTATTGATTTGCATGTATCTGTGTTGTGTTAAATGTCTCCGCTGTCTTCTGCAACCAACTTGCTGATTTCAGCAAGCAACTTGCTGGTTTCCACAAGCGAATTTGCTAGATTCTGCAAGCATCTCTCTGTTATCTGCAAAAAAATTGTTGGTTTCCACAAGCAACTTTGCTGGTTTTTCCAAACGTCTATCTGTTATTTGCAAGCAAGGTGCTGGTTTCTGCAACTGAATTTCTGTTATCTGCAAGTAACATTCTGTTTTCTGCAAGGAACTTGCTGGTTTCTGCAAAACTTCTTCAGAATAGTTTTTGGTAATTTTGTCAAAATATCTAGTATTAACTGAAGTTTTCTACAAATTTTTTTGATTTCATTGTGTTTCTGTTCTATGATGCATTTCTTTGTATTGAATATTTTAGGATTATTTTGACTGTTCTGTTCAGGGAGGAAGATTTGTCCTTTGTATTCTTTTTTTGCAAATGGAACAAAGTTTATCTTATTTTCGCTATCATTTTAAGTACAGTAATACTTCCAATATTGTTATTTACTATTGTTTAGGTAACTGTGTTTTGTCTAAGTGATGAGGAAGAAGAGTTAGATCTTGCCATCCTTACAGCTCTTTTAAAGGCCCAACAGCATGCCTTTACTGATCAGCTTAGCCTGGCAATGGCATGGGATAGGGTGGATATTGCTAAAACTCAGGTGTTTGTTTATGGACGAGAATGGCCGGTATGACTTTTCTTATTTATTATCTCCTTTAATATAAAATATGTTAATTCCAATGTTAATTCATTTTATTTCAGTCTGTATAAAAGCAAACCATTTTAATTTATGATTTTGTGAACTATGGAGTGACAAAGAAATCATTAGAGTATCACCATGATCTCAATGAAACATAATATATAAACATATATTTTAATATAAACATTTACATTTTGAATTTATGTTGGTTGACTTGTAGGAGGCAGCTTTAGAACAAGCGATGCAAGATGCATTGATGGCCGACCGTGTTGAATTTGTCAGACTTCTTAAGGACAATGGTGTGAACATGCACAAGTTTTTAACAGTTAGAAGGCTAGAAGACCTTTACAATTTTGTAAGTTGCACTGTTATATAGAACTACTACTAACTGTTGAATAATATAAAAATTGTTATGTAAATATCTCAATTTATTTGATTAGAACAAAAACCACATGCATAAACTCAATTGAAAGAGACACATCTCAAGGAAAACATACACATAAGATGCTGTACATAGACTAAGTCTCATTATTAGGCTTAGGGAATGGAGTTGTTTTGGTCATCATGTCAATCAAACTAAATAGATCTCTGCACATACTGGCTAACAATTGTTCCGATTGGATAAATCTTGTTCAGTGCGGTGATGTTTGGCGTTGATGATGATTTGTATAGAACTTTCATTTAATCTGAGACAGTTTTGTGTAAAATACTATTCTCCAAGTATCGAAATGCACGCCATCGTGTCGGGATTCAATATTTCGACATTAATTATGTCGTCATCAGGAATACTATTCTCATTCAGCATAAATATCAGCTTTAATCAAATTATTAGATAGGAATGAATTTATTTGTATGTTATTTTTAAAATTGTATTTTTAGTGACTTATGAAAAGAATTATTTGATATTAAATTATAAATTGATGATTTTGTAACCTAGAAACATGGTCCATCTAGTAGTATGCGGTATCTTTTGAAAGAAATAAGGAAGGTAAGTAATATTGTATTTTGTGTGTATCAATGCAAGCCAATGTTTATCAGTTTGCATCAATGCAATACATTGCGTATCATTGTATGTCCATGCTTCATTGTATATTGATTTTCTGGTGTGTTATTTGAATATCATGTCAATAGACTGTAGTAAACAGCATATTATATGTTCAGAAGATTTTTATTTTAAATATAACACAGTGAATACAGATAAGTATATTATTTATTCTTTTTTTCTAGATTGATTCAAATTCTACTCGCTGTACGTTGTACGACATTGGTGTTATTATTGAGAAGCTTATGGGAGGAAGTTACAGATCGGTTTATACAAAGAAAAAGTTTCGCAATCTTTACCACCCAAGCATGAAGAAGGTAATTGCTGTGTATTTGTTTGAACCATACCAATTAACTACTGCTTGGTTGCTATACTGAAAATGTTGGTTAGTTGCTTTTGTGAGCATTTTAGCCATTTTCATTTGTAATAGGGATTTTTAGGGAAGGGAATATACTTTACAGACAATATTTTAAATTTTAACAGGGATTTTCTTTTGGTAATGAGTTGGATAAAGAAGCGGACTCATCAATGAGGTATTCAGGAACATTTAGTTATCCGTTCAATGAACTTCTGGCCTGGGCAGTGCTAATGAAGCGTCACAAGATGGCTCTATTTATGTGGCAGCAAGATGAAGAAGCTATGGCAAAAGCGTTGGTTGCCAGTAAGCTATACAAAGGAATGGCAAGGGTAGCAGAACATGTCCACCTTGATACTGAAATAGGTGAAGAACTAAGAAAGTATTCAACGTAAGTGGAGGCATGTTATCAAAGATTTCATATTTTTTAATTTTTATTTCCCTATGTTAAAATAGAAGAAAACGCTGAGAATTATTCTATGTGCAAACCCCTGGAATCTTAGACTGTTTAGAGATTTGAAATGATTATTTAATGTTCTTACATTTACATATTCTTTAAAATTACATATTTTTTCTGTGAAGATTGAGTTTTCCTAGTTTTTTTTTTTTCCTTTTTTTTTTGCAACTAGCGCAAATGGCGCCCCTACTGTAGAACAGCCTCTTAATTTCATTTGTTGCATGACAAGCTCACGTATGTAATGTTGCATTAGCTCGAACTTTCTTACCATAGACACTCACTAGACCTGATTTTACTCGGGAAGGAGAGCACATGGTCAATTAGCGATGCAACTCACATGAAACTACATGATTTTACTCCTCAAAAACCATGTGTTATGTTGTAAACAAATACAATGGCGCAAGAATTAGCGATCGTGCAACGTCGACAAGAGATAAATCCAGGAGCATAGTTAATCATTTCTCTTTAAATTTCAACACGATGCTTGTTTACTTAGATAATATTAAATTTGCTGGTTGGGCTACCCAAATGTTTTCTCTGGGGTGGGATTAAACTTACAACAGTGAGATGTTTGGCCTCGATATAGACAATAGGCTTATACATACATGCGAGCAGGTACGACTATCACCTGTATGACTTAGTTTCCTTAACCTTAAATCGTTCATACTTCTGGTACAAAACATTTTTTATGAAGTTTGGACATAAAATTAAATAAGTATCGTGAGTAAATGTTTCATTTTTACTCTATTTTAGTTTTTTATTTTATTCATTTAAAAACCAACAGCGATGAAAACTGCCACTAACAGGTTTAATAAACAATCTAATATATAATATAAATACTGTAGACGAATAGATATACAGTCGAGTCCGCCGAAGTTGACTCTGTTTAATTCGAAAATTCATGTCAGTCGGATTTTTGAAAAAGTCCCAATTCTTTCCTATGTGTGTAAATTGTTTGTTTAATTTGAATTTTTATAAGTCAAATTTCGGCTATATCGACAGACTTTTCCGGTCCGGATAGGCTGATTTTAAAGTAATTTTAACCACACAAGTTCCAAATTTAGTAGCGCACGTGGGAAAAATAACAGCCGTGGGAAGATACAAAGTTCAATTCTTGTTGTACAGCAACAAGTTAGCCATGTCAAACTAACATCTCAGACCGCGCGCTGTGGAATGATGGCTCACACGATCGTATGTCGTAAGTTGCAGTCTACTCTCACATTACAGACTCTCCTCCAGACCGGCTTCAATGTTCAGTTTTTCGTCCTGTTCAGTTTGTAGAATTTGTATTGAACCCATTTCGAACAAAATTGTTGTAGTCATGACCTAGCTATTAAATAATGTTAATTGTAGTTGTAACAGCACTACGAGTCCCGACCGATTATCCAACCTTTGTTTTTCCCCTTCATTAACAATTCAGATGATTTTACCTCCAATATAGATCTTGATTCTCAATTCTTTTCTAATAACAAAGTATTACGACCCTGATGAGTTCCCTATCACAAAAACGTCAATTTTTTTTACCATTCATTTAAATTCTAGAAGCATTTAAAAAAATTTTGAACAAATGAAACACCTTTTATTTTTCAAACTACCTTTTGATATAATTGGAGTGAGCAAAACTTGGCTCAAATATGATAATCCCCTGGTACAGCTCCCCATTTTTAATTTTGTTTCCCACCGTAGAACACTCAAAGACGGTGGTGGAGTAGCCATGTATATTATTCATAATAGTCTCCAATTTTCTACTAGACATGACCTCCATCTTAACCCCTCTAACTATGAATCAATTTTTATTGAGATTACCAGACCCCATTGCAAAAACATTGTCGTCGGAACCGTGTATAGATCCCCTCCCTTGACCTTTTTCAATTTATTAATGAACTTGACACTGTCCTCTCTAAATTATCAAGAGAAAACAAAATTGTCTACATTATGGGAGACCTCAGTATTGATATTCTGGAGCATGAGTTGGTGCCCACGGTGCCCACTGTTTGGTTAACTCCTTTTTTGGCAATCATTATCTACACCGCATCCACAGACCATCTCGTATCACCAAAAACTCAACTACCTTATTAGATAGTATCATTACTAATCAATTTGACTTTCCTAATCTGAGCAGATGTTTAAATTTAACTTGCAATCCCATTTTTTGCAAAATTCAATAGAATAGAAATTGTACAAAAATTTGTTAAGTAAACTTAATTAATATTTTCATAAATGATTGTAATATTAAATTAAATTTGAAATTAAATGAAATTTAATGCTTAATGAAAATGAATTTTGAATTTAAATGATGATGTGCAATGCTTTCAGAAATTATTTCTATAATTAATAATTTAATAACAATTTAAATTATTTAAATGGAATTAAATGATACAATGCTTTATGTAGTATTATAGTATAAATTATGTAATATAATGCAAAGTGAATTTTTTAATAATTATTTTTATATTTGTATAATTAAAATTATTGTTTATTCTTATTGTTATTAGTATGTTCCTGCTTAATTAATGAACATTTGTAAATTCTAGTTTGGACAAGCACAACTTTTGATGACAGTGTTTTCACTTTTACCTCTCCTGGTATCTCTAGAATTAATATTGTTTTGTTGTTTTTGTTAATAATTTGTTTTGAATTGTGGTTTTCGTTTGTTTTTGTAATTGTATTTGTATAATATATTAATATTATTACCGAATAAATAAAATAAATAAATAAATAATTTGATAATGTATAATAAAACACATTTTAAAAATAATTATTTTATAGAGAATTTCAGAACTTGGCTCTTGATCTATTGGACCAGTGTTATCGTCAGGATGATGACTTCACTATGCAGTTATTGACAGTACAGTTAAAGAACTGGAGTAATCAGACTTGTCTAAGTCTGGCAGCTATTGGCAACCACAGGGAGTTTACTGCACATATATGCTGTCAACTACTGCTTAATGATCTTTGGCTTGGTGGCCTACAGCTCAGGAAGTATATGAACTTCAAGGTAATAAATGAAACTAAGTATATAATTGTAGCTCACTCAAAGGACCCTAAACTATGACAGGGAAAAAAAACCCACTCAGGTACATGATATATAAAAAAGCAACCTGAATTATTAAATACTTGTAAATGTCCATTTTACTTGCAGCATCTGTTGTCTACTTGTAGCATCTGCTTTCCTTTTGTATCTTTTTACACTTTTGGTATCTACTTTTCACTTGGAGTTTATACATTCCATTTGTAGTAATTAGCATTTTGTATGAATCAATTGGTGCATTATAGATATCTAATGTGCTTTTTTCCTCTTTAGGTTCTGTTTGCAATATTTTTGCCACCAACTTTACTTGCTTTAACTTTTAAAACAAAAGAAGAACTACAACTTCAGCCTCAAACATTGGAGGAGTTCATCCAGGAGCAAAAAGATGAAATAGGTTCCTCAAATTCAATTCAAGATTTGAATGCAGATGAGGAGCAGCAAGATGGGAATCACTTAGAAATGGTACATAATAATAATACATTTTGATTTCCTCAAGTATAGGTGAACGCCAAATCCAAGGAGGAACAAAGTTCCTGTACAAAATTTGGCAGTCCCAAACATCAATTATTAAAGAAAAGGACAATACATTACATTTACACACAGCATAGATATCCTGCAATAGGTTGATTTAACTATGTTTAAAATTATCTATTTATTATTATTATTATTAAATTATATATTCCTTTTATTTTGAAATCAAGTTCAATACAGACAAAAAATTCAAATATGAGTGGCGGCTGTAGGATATATTTTGTAGGGGGCTAAGCTGTCCGACAGGGGGATAACTAAGATAAGGATAACTTTGGCGCATCACCATCAGAGGGCCTTCTGACTGAGCCGGGGAATACAGTTGGCACTATACTCTTAAACTCAACTCAATTAACACGCATTGCATTTCATTAGGCCTTTTTTTTTTGGTCTGACTGGCCGACGATATCTGGTCTGTGGGGGCTTAACCTGTCCGATGGGGATTAAGCCCTGCTGGTGCCGCCACTGAACCAGTAGTGAACTGTACATTTGATAAGATTATTTTCAATCGACTGTAATCTAAGCCTGGAACTGTAGATTGACTTCTTTTGAAAACCTGAAATCTAGGCAGATCATTCATGAGAAACATACTGTATGACTTGCATATACAACTTCAGATCGGTGGCGCACGTTTCCAGTGAACGGTGCATCCTTATAATCAACAATATAATAAAGTAGCAGAAAAATAAAAAAGCAATTGAACATTTTGCTTTTCAGTAGTCTACGTACAGACTAGCACACTAAAACAAAGAAGCACATCAAGTTAATACAATTTGACACCTAGTCTACAAAACTACAAAAAAGAACAGTAACATCAACAGATTAATGAGTTGCGTAAAATCATTCTTATACCTTAAATCTTTCTTATACCTTAAATCTTTCTTCCAATCTACTTCAACCTACTTCTACCTCCCCTTCCCCCTCCCATTTCCTAATTCCTAATCGGACATAAAAGCAATTCTAGTAAATTAAATACATAACGAAACATACAACAATCTTCAACAAAATACATAAATATATATAAGCAGTAATACAGATCACTTTTCACATACGACTTACACAATTTATCAAATGCAATAAGCACATCATTATTCATTTCATTTTCATTTCATTTCATTTATTTATTCAGACAAGTGTCTTGGGGCCCCAAAAGCAACAAAATCACCATGACAAAAGTCTGGAGCCCCAGAAAACAAAACTTAACTACATTATTAGCGAGTATATACAAAGAAAGGTTTAAAATGTAAAAAGTGAAAGGCCAAGACAATAAAAATAATTTTAAAAAACACAGATTTCGCACACAATTGAATAATAGATAAAATTTCATAAAAGAACGATAAAAAATTTAAGCGTCGAGAAAAAATTGTTTAACTTGCCTTAAGAAAACCGAGAGAGAACAAAGGACTGCAGAATCTTTTAGTTCAGAAGGAAGTGAGGACCGTAGAACAGGGAAACGATGGATAGCAGAGAATTTGAGACAATTAGTGCGAGCGTATGGATGTTTGAAGGTGAGAGAATCAGGGTAACAAGGATTAATTGCAAGATTATCAACAACACTGTAACAGTAATTAAAATTATACAAACAACGAAAAATAAAAGAGATTAAAATTTGATCACGACGGTCCTTAAGGGACAGCCAGTTTAACAGCTTGAGCCTCTCCTCATAAGGTAATACCCCCCAGCCGACTTTAAGAATACGCCTAGAAGCACGTCGTTGAATTTGTTCAAGACGTTCAGCATGTTTGGCGTAAACAGGACCCCAAGCAGGGAGACCATACTCAATGATAGGCAAGATCATAGCTTTATACAAACAAGAGATGGCTTCAGGTGAACTATTTCCAGCATGGGAAAGGATTACGCCAAGGAGTCTGTTCGACTTGGACACAACATGCAAAATGTGAACATCCCAAGAGAGCTTATGATCAAGGTGCACACCTAGGTACTTATAACTTTCAACAGATTCAATTTCATTACCATTGAGGAAGTAGGTGGGCTTTTCAAATTCACGCTTCCTAGTGATGTGCATAACTTTGGTTTTATTTACATTAAAAGTCATAGAGTTGACAGAAGCCCAGTTGCACAGTTGATCAATATCTCTCTGAAAGATGGTAGCGTCATTATTGCACAACATATGTCTAAAAAAAGTACATCATCAGCTAATAAAACACAATGAGATAAAAGGTTAAAACTAATGTCATTTACAAAAAGGTTAAAAAGGACCGGCCCAATACAACTACCCTGAGGTACACCGGAGGTGACAGGCAAAGAAGATGATATTGTACCATTAAAACAGACACGTTGGTATCTATTACTTAAAAATGATGATATCCATTTCCAGACATTACCCTGAATATTAAAATGAACAGCAAGCTTGTGTAACAATATATCATGGGGCATTTTATCAAATGCTTTACTCATGTCAAGAAATAGAGCATCAGTAACACGAGGATTCCGTTCGTCAAGGAGACGAGACTATTCATAATCAACATTAGTTAATTGAGTTAATTTACATTGCACACGTGACTTGCAGAATTTTTTGGAGTGATAGTAAGATACATTAAAATCAAAATAGCATCTGCATGGACTAGGTAGAAGCAGTTTATGGCATCTGTAATCCAAGACTTCAGAGTGTGGAACCAGGACTAACAGTATTGACAACAAACATTTTGAATATGTTCTGCAATCCTAGGCAAGATATCCCAATTAAATGGATCCAACAGTTGAGAATAAAAATGAAGAAACCACAGTTAATATTTTAAAGCAAATGATGAAACGATAAAATCGATCCGATCCTTGTTGCGTTAAAACTTTGAAGTTGCCAGATATGACAGTAGCCATGGTGACTGTAATCAAAAAAACATCTGAAGAAGTGGAACTACATGAGAGTGAACCGTCAATCAGAAAATCAAGATCGGTAATTTGCATATGAAAAGAACTCTTCCTTGACATCGAACTGACAGATGATTCTATACAAATTCAACCAAGCGTGACGAGCAAGATCAAGGTGACAGGTAAGATCAATAGGCCTACAAATGGCTCCTGTCAATCAGTCTGAGCGGCTTTAACCTAATTCGATGTGAGCGAGGGGTGTAAAGTTGGTCCGACAGTAGGGCTAGCTCAGATGATGCTTAGAACAGGCAGATGAAGGTGCTCCTTAACAATCAGACAATAATAGTGACTCGTACTGATGTAATAACGATATTGATATATAAAGATACGATCATTTCTTCCAATTTATGTGCGATTATAGGCAACTTTTCCAGAGCACTTCAACGTTCACATAACCACTATCCATTTTTCCATTATTATGTGCGCAAGTAGAACAATACTATATTACACAGGTCAAACAGCATGATAACAGAAAAAATTTATAACAATAAACATCATTAATAGACATGCACTCTGACTTTTCAACATCCTATATATTTTGTTATGCTACAGGTTTTGGATTGATTTTAAAAATTTAAATAGTTATATTAAGGATTATGTTCTTTGATTAAGCAATTATTATAGCATTACTTACTTAAACTTAATCATAGTATAGAAAGGAATGTAATTAAAATCTAAACAAACTAGGGAAATTTTAATAAAAGAAATAAAATATTATTAATGATTATGACAATAACACTAATGACTGTGGAACTGTTTCATCAATGATAAGAGTAATAATGAGAAATCCAAGTCGACTAATGGCACAGTATTTGCTTTAAACATCATTTACTGGAATCGACTTACCATTTGCCAAAGTAAAAATATTACAGCTCTTCAGTACTGCCACAATCTTATGCTTATTACTCAGTTTAAAAATTAACAACATTATACTGGTTTTGGGAAAGCAAGCCTCATACAGTATATTATGATACCTTGCAAGCATTAAATATCTGACATTCAATGAATAGATAGCGATACAGATCCCCATTTGGAATTTAGTACAGTCGATGAAATGTAGGAGATGATTCCATGATTGGCTTATTAATTTTCATGACAAATCCAAGTAATTTCTTCTGTACTACTAGTTACTGTACATTAGATATTACACTATTTTTTTGTAGAAAAATCAAGAAAATGGTGCTGCATCTGGAAGATTTCAACCATTAGTTTCAAGTCCACGAAATATTCCATCGCAACACAGATCATTAAGAGTTGGCAAGAAAATATATGAGTTCTACAATGCACCAATAACTAAGTTTTGGACTCAAACTGTAAGTAATGTTATGATTTATACAAAGTACCAATAACTAAGTTTTGGGCTCAACCTGTAAGGAATGGAATGATTTATACAATGGAGCGATAACTAAGTTTTGGATGTAATGATTTATACAATGTACCGTTAACTAAGTTTTGGGCTCAACCTGTAAGGAATGGAATGATTTATACAATGTACCAATAACTAAGTTCTGGGCTTAACCTATAAGGAACGGAATGATTTTTTACAATGTACCGATTACTAAGTTTTGGGCTCAACCTGTAAGGAATAAAATGATTTATACAATGTACCGATAACTAAGTTTTGGACTCAACCTGTAAGGAATGGAATGATGTATACAATGTACTGATAACTAAGTTTTGGGCTTAACCTGTAAGGAATGGAATGATTTATTTTTATTTTATTTCAATTCGCATTCAAAAGCGAGTGGTCCGCCACTTATGGAATGGAAACAAAAAAACTGATACAAATTTCACTGTTTTTGTTTCTCAAGGTGCCATACTTAGTTTTGGTTGGTTTTCTTACAGGTATGGTGCCTGTGATTTATGTACCCGCTGAGCATTTGCCCTTAAATTGCGGGTGAACGGCACGCCTAGCTGGTTAACTGACCACTGCTTTGATTGTTTCCTCCTTTTTGTGTTTTGTTAAAATTTATAATAAAAAAAATATAATAATTTTTTAAAAATAACTAAATTAATTGAAATTAAAATTACATATACATACATATACATATACATATAATCATTGTTAAGCGCTTTGGGGCTTTAGTTAGTGTAAGGCGCTATATAAATCTAAATTATTATTATTGTCATTATTACAAATAAAGAGATACAAATAGTAACAAAGTCACAATAAAGACTACAAAACTCTAGTATATGTAAAATAAATGTGATCTTTTTATATACTCTTACACTATTATAAAATATATCTATGGAATTGTCTTCTTTGCTAAAGTTCTTATGTAATCTATTTTAAGTAACATTGACTCTGGCAAAAGAAATGTACCGATAACTATGTTTTAGACTTCTCTAAAAATAGGTGGTTTCAGATCATGCTCGTGGTCCCCTAACTTTTTCATTACATTCAATATAGTATAGAATTTTTGTCTTGACAAAATTAGGTGTCCACAAAAGATTAAATGTCTCTATTGTAATTTACTTAAATATTGTTAAAACTGAATGTGTAGATTTTTATTTTGTTTATCTCAGCTTACCTTCATCATGTTCATGGGACTGTATAGCTACATTGTATTGGTACCGACACCAGAGAAGCCTTCATTAAATGAATGGATTGTAGTTGTCTACATTGTTACATTTGCAGCAGAACAAATTAGAGAGGTACTCTATCATCTTTTATGCAAACATTGTTATCGTTCTGAATAATTAGCATTATATACCAACAGCATAGTTTCATGCAATGAAAATTTCAATTTATAACAACATAGTTGGTTTTAATTAACTGGTTACTGTAGGAGTTAATAATTTGTACTATATATATTACAAACATCATTGTTAGGCAAGGCTTTTTTTATAACTTTTTTTAGCAAACCCGCTGTCCGCCAATAATGATGATTTTGAATAAAAATAAATAAATTTTAATTTGATCAATTAGTACACCCACTGCCACGACAAAATGGAAAATTCAGAAAAAGTTGTTTTTCTTATTTTTATTACGCCTGCAGCTGCTTTGAAATTTACAAAAATAAGATGTATATTTCTTTCTAATTATTTTTCTCTGGAAGTTTGCTGAATAAGAAAACAAAATTGAATTTTTTTTTTTTTTTCGGCCCTCCTCTGATGGTCTTATAACAAACAAGTTATAAACAAGGTATAAAAAAAGTATTCGCATTATGATAAAAGTGCATCTGATAATGAATATATAGCTGTGTTAATTGAGATGAAATCAACATAAAATTTACACAGGTAGCCCAAATAAACTTGAATAATTACCATTTTAATTGCTGTTTTTTAATATTCAGAAGTGGTTTTGTGTCTTTAAATAAGAAGAGTGATGGTATCTCAGACACAAAGGGACCCTTAGGGCATCTTATGTTAGATGGATATGGCGCTATATAAAACCACACTATTATTATTATTTGTACTTTGTTAATTTATAGTTTGTTACATCTGAGCCAAGCAAAGTATTTCAAAAGGTAGAGGTTTGGTATGAAGACTACTGGAATATTCATGATACTGTAGCAATACTACTGTTTCTAATGGGCTTTGGATTTCGCATGAATTTACCAACGCTTCAAGCAGGCCGTGTTATATACTCTGTTGACATTGTTTTTTGGTACCTGAAGTTTTTGGACATTTTAAGTATTAATATCTATCTTGGACCGTTTGTAACAATGATGGGTAAAATGGTAAGAATTGTCAACTCAATTCTTAACCTTTGTATTCTATATTCTATATTATGTCTATTAATGACCTAATCTATAATTAGAACCTAAATTAATTTTAAAGTTAAAGGTTTTATGGACTCTAATGGCAATAAGCTGTTTAAGCTTTTTTTGTTAAAAATATAAATTTTGGTATTTTTTGTGATTTTCTGAATTCAAATCAAGTGAAATTAAATCATACACTGCCTGTTGTTTTGTGTGTATTTTTTTTGTGTATTTTTATATATAATAATGCTTTTACTGTATCTATACGGCAGGTTGCAGCCTTCTTAATGTTAAAGCATAAATAAAGTAATATAAATTCCCAACATGCTTCATTAGTGAGTGTAGAAAGGATATTAATTCAATGCTTTCAAAATGTAACATTTTACTGTGTATACTTTAGATGCGGGATATGGCTTATTTCATTGTCTTATTATTACTGATTATGCTGAGCTTTGGAGTAGTGCGTCAATCCATTACACATCAGAATATGGAACCTAGCTGGTACATGTTGCGCAATATTTTTCATGAACCATACTGGATGATCTATGGGGAGGTGTATGCACCAGAAATCAATCGTAAGTTTTAAAAATTTGAATGAATTTATTATTATTTATATCATTTATGTAGCACCTTTTCTGTGCAGATACAAAGTGCTTCTTTTCTGTGGTCATTGAATCTACTTGCTTTTAAGTGTTGCTGTTGGTAATCAGCTGAGGAGCAAGCAACTCCAACAGGTACCCTTGTATACTCCTAGCTGGAGAGCAGCAATGCTGATAAAGTGCCAAACCATTCTCGCTGCGCCAACCTTCTATTAATCGAACGTGATTGAGATTATTGATGTTTTTCCGATCATTAATTATGATATTACACTGCATTAAAAAAAAAATGATTATTTTACTTTACAACAGCTTGTGGGGATGCGCCTGACCCAACAAGGTGTGTACCTGGACACTGGGTTGTACCATCTGCTATGGCATTATACTGCATTGTTGCTAACATTCTACTCATTAATCTTCTCATTGCAACATTTAAGTAAGTAGTACTTTAACATTTCTTTTGGAGTAAGATGCTTGCCTTTCAACCATGGGGTTCTGTGTTCAGTTCCTGTCACAGCAAGAGGATTTTTTCCTGTTCTTGTGAATGTATTGCCACTCGTAAAGTGATTAAATGCGCTATAGTATTGGCATATCCTTGGCTCTGAGCCTAAGAATAAAATAAAATTATAAATAAAATACACATAAATATATTATTTCCAAAATTCTATCAAGTTTTATTTTACATATTTAATGTGGTACCCCTGTTATTGCTCATTATATTCAGTACTTCAACTATTGTATGTATTAGGCCTGAGTATAATTTTAGAAATAAATATCCTCTGACCATAATTAAGGTACTTAATTATAGTGTGAATATTTTTAAAAATTAATTATACTGATTTATTTTTCAGTAACACATATGCAAGAATCCGTAGCATATCAGATGTAGTTTGGAAATTTCAACGTTATCGTCTTATCATGGAGTATGAACAAAAATCAATGATGGTACCCCCATTTGTTATCTTTCAACACCTGTTTCTGTTCTTGCGAGCATTTATTTATTGCTGTTGTAGAAATCCCCGTCCAAGTCGAGACAAGGGACTAAGTAAGACAACTTTCATTGTACTCTATATGTAAAAACTAACATAGTAAGACTCACAACACAAACCATTTCACCACAGCTACCATAATAAGACTCACAGCATAAATCCCGTCGCCACCAAGGGTGCAGATCTGTTTTGAAAGGGTGGGGGGACATTTCGTGAGACCTCAGTCACATCAGTCCCACTATGGTTGGGACTGAGGTGCAAAAATTTGAGGAAATAATACCTCTAAATGGCCAGAAATGACACTGTTATATAGTAAAATCATCATCATAACATCACCATGATCTTTATCAGTTATTTTCGGCTATCAGCTGACTTAATAAGACTCACAACATAAAGCATGTCACTATGATTAAGCTCATAAGACTCACTGACAATATAAACACCCTCGACACAGCTAACCTCATTAAAATCACTGTAAAAATAAACCACCTCACACTACAACTAACCTAATAAGACTTGCAACATAAACCACATCATCATACTGTAACTAAGCTTGTGAAACTCATTGACAACGTAATCTCCCTCACACTACAACTAACCTATTAAGATTCGCAACATAAAACCCCTCACCACAACAACTAAGCTCATTAGAGGTCACTTAAGCAATTCACTTTTCACCGAGCATTTCTTTTGAAAGTGGTCAACTGATTTTTGTGCAAACAGCAACGTATGCAACCTCCTAGGACCTAGGAGTATTGGAATGTACTGGCACGATTCAGAGATTATCCCGGCCACACCTTGAGGATTGGAATGTGGTTTATCTAGATACAGCAGATATTATTTAAATATCTATAGATTAAAACATCCTGGGAATAACATAGAGAGCAGTTGACTATACACAATATCTCCTAGAAAGGAAAACTGTCCTCGGACAACATTCTCAGTTATCTCCTAGTTTAGGTTTTGGGGCAAGAATAATGATTACTCATGGAAGTGAACATGTATCTAGTCGAGGTTGTATAAGGCATATAGGGCCTATAAAATTTTAAATAAATAATTATTTGTTTGTAACTCTCCCCTTATCTATGGGGCTGATTTTATACTGTAACTGCTGAGAAACATTTGATTTTAATTTTAATTTATCAATAAAATCATTTAACATTTATCAGTTACATCAAAATTGGAAAAAGAAATATATACTGTATATAAAACAAAATAAAGTGTAATGGTGTTTTACAGGATAACTTATAAAATTTATTGAAATAAAAATCAATCTATAATATATATATATTATAGGTCTCTCGGCCAGTAAGAGAGACATTATACAAGAACTTTCCAAAACATATGCAGTAGATGTATTGGCATTACAGGAAACGCGCACAACAAAGGATCAACAACTACCAATCATTGGTTACACAGTAATCTCATACACCATCAACAGTATGGCTTGGCTATATACGTCAGAGATGATATTCCTGCAACTGAGCTTTGTTCCAATAGTGAAGACTTTGATGTCCACTGGAACGCCATCCGTATAAGGGATCAAACCATCGTAAACGTTTACAAGCCACCAGAAGTGAAATGGCCTTTTCCAGTTCTTCCACCATTTCCCGTACCAGTCCTTTTCTGTGGCTCCCAACATATTTCATGGGGATATAATAGAAATTCTGCGAGTGGTGAAACCCTTGTTGAGTGGGCAAACCAAAATGATCTCATGTGTCTGTTTGACCCTAAACAACTAGCATCTTTCAAGAGTGCAAGATGGGGAACTGGAACAAACCCAGACTTGGCTTTTATAGACTGTAGCCCCGAGACACCATATGCGAAGCATCAAATTTTGGCTCCCTTTCCATTTTCACAACACAGGCCATCACTCATTACTAGTGGTACTTACATAAAATCCACAAATTCCTCAAACAAACCTCGATGGAACTTTAAAAAGGCGAATTGGATTAGCTTCACTACCACTCTTGAATCTGAAACTCATATGCAGTAGCCCAATAGAAGATCTGGATAAGGCATACAATACAACACAAAGACTTACCATGGTATTTAAAGTATATTTGAAGTATGTTTGTGATTTGTAATGCCAGTGTACCCTCAAGGTTACAGTCTTTATTTGGAAAACTTACTGAACCATCTTCACTGTCTTTAGCATCGCCTAGTCTTGACCGTCCCACAAGTTCACAACGATCACGAAATACAAATAACATGCACTGCCTAGGCCCACTTTACATACTACTGGATCTCTACTACACTAGGCCTAAGCCTAATTATTCTAAGCAGTTGTCGAATTATGGTAAAAAATATCACTTATTGTGTTTATGGATGAGGGAAGAGAAAAATAAAATGATTCATTGCTTTCCCAATAGATCTTTTCCTTCCCTGCACCCTTCCTACGGATTAAAAACATACTGGAGCAATTTTTATGGGGTGGGGGTTTGAATCGAATATTTATTTTAATAGAATATTTTGTTCACGGAACAATTCAATTATAAAATGACTTACTTATGTTTACATATCGATATCGTTTGCATTTAAATTAAATTGAAGGTATTGAATAAATGAAATTAACATGTGTGACATGGGGCTGCGCCGTGTCGTGTCACACCATAAATTGGCAAGGCTTATATCCACCCTTTAGAATTTTGTGCATCAGATTTTTTTTAATTGTACCACTCTTTAAAAATATCCTGGTGAGAGGGCTGTATATATGTACATACCTACATATGGATGCATGCATGTATGTATGTATATATGTGTATGTATATGTATTTAACTTTGATTTATCTTAAACTTGATAGAGCTTTTTCTACCAGAGGAAGATATCCGGATACTGAATGATTTTGAAGAGGAATGTATGGAGCTTTATTTCCGCAGCAAAGAGGCTCAGGTGAAGACATCAAGTGAACAAAGGTTAAAGGTTACATCTGAAAGGTAAACACACATTATGATGCAGTACATGAATGATTAATTGGAATATTGTAAACAGTTGATTTAAAAAACAATAGTTTGTTAATTTTTAATTATTTTAACAATTTATATATTGGAGTCAAACGATAAATAGTGTATTTATTGCAAATTTGTTAATACTGTATGTAAAATGGAAATATAAGAATGCAGGTGTTTTTCTAATTGTGATTTCATACAGGTACATACTCCATTGCAATTTTTAGTAACATGCATTTAGCTCACTGTTGTCATTGTTCACATTTTCAGTTATGTCCTTATTTTATCATTTGTGCAGGGTTGAGAATGTGGAGCTAAAATTGGATGAGATAATCGCAAAAGAGAACTTGATCAAAGTTAACTTGAATTCCTTAGACACTCGGTTAAATGCACTGGAGAGTGTGTGTTTCCAAACTGTGCACAGTGTTCGCTATCTACAACATCTCTTGACTGCTATCTCTGTGGATCTATCTGAAAGTCGTGATTCTGTTAGTGAGGCAGAAAAGAAATCTAATGATGATTCACCAACTAAACCATCACAAAGAAAGATGGCTTTGTCAGAGACAATTCTTACACCAACATCAACTGCATCTTCTAAGGAAGCTTTGACTTACCTCTGGGAACAATCTGTTAATTATGTGCCAATAAAAGGCAATGTAGACAGTAGGCAGGATTCTTTAGGAAATTCTGCAAAAAAACCATCTGTTGAGAAAGATAAATTACAGTTACCAGTCAGTGAGGTGAGTGAGTTTGAAGGTGAACGAATTCTTACTCCAGTTGTAGAATCAACACCAGTGTCCTCTGGTAGAGAAAATCTTTCACTGATAGGTTTAACAGGTGTAAGATCCAAAGCAAAGAAAAAAGTGAAAGCAAGTCAGGAACGCTTGAGTACATTTGAAAGATATGCCTCAATGAATCCCCCCTCAAAAGCAGCAGTGGCAAGTCAAGATACAGAAGCAGGGCCTATCAAACGGCAGATGGGCTTTGAGGAACCTGTTCATTTGAGGGTTCCTACTAAACGTAATGGTCTGTCGCACATAGAATCAGAGTCTAACTTGTCTATTTATAGCGAGTCTGGTTTAACTAAGACATCTATACGGCAATCAACTCCTTACAGGGCTGCTCCAGCCTACAGCACTATCACAGACCATATTGATACAAGAGAGGTGGATAGCCAAGCAATGCTTGACCAGTCACATGCAATTAGCTTTGGATATTGGACAATGACCGATGGGGCTGGGACTTCAAGCCCATATGTTCACTCATTAAGTCCAAACATAAATTCAACCAATATGTATAGTGTGAACCAGTTGGAGAGGTGTCCGACACCGTTGAACATACCAACACCCAGTAGTGAGACAAATAGTGAATTTGATCCTGTCAGGAATGATGGAAATCTAGATGATAATGATGAAGGAATTATGTTTTTAGCAAATCCACAAAATGATGTCAGTCCAGATGAAGCAGAAACAAGGTGCTGAAGAATTACTATGATGCTTAAATAAGTAAATATGATTGATGATGTGTGCAGGGTCAAATTATTTAAACTTGTTACTCAATGTAAATGTAATACGTGTGTAAACAATATTTGCATTTAGTTGGTCTTGACTCACTAATGTCTTAACTTAAATACTTATCGTTTTTAAGTCTCTGTCCTTCATTAAGCTCAATACTTTGTACTTAATGCACATTGAAAGCATGTCAGTACTCCTTATTGTACACATGCTCATTTCAAAGTAATATGAATTAAGAAAAGTTTGCTTAGTAACAAAGTGAGAGCAACCCAGAATAAAGAAAGGATGGCCATGATTATTGGGTGAAATGGCCTCACACTCTTTATGAGAGTATATTATTTATTTTATTTTATTTAAGCATAATCAGTGTTAGTTGTTGCTTAGTAAGATGTACAGTAGTTTAGTATTACACCTACAGTACAGTTAAACTTGCCTAAGTTGACTTTGCCTAACTCAATAATTTCCAAGTCGATCTTATTTTACATGCCAAATTGTTGTGTTTTCCATTAATTAACAATCTGTAAGTCAAATTTTATTTAAGTCGAACAATTTTGCAATGTAGTGGCGTATCTAAAAGTCTTGAATTGGGGGGGGGGGCGAAGGTGGGGGCTAGATGATCAGTTGAGAGGCGCTAATTCGCAAAATATGGTGATTTTTATATACTTGACCGTGATGACTGTGATTTTGGGGGGTGGTGGACGACTGGGGGACACAAGTAATTTTTTTGGGGGGCGTGCACCCCCGCACCCTCCCCTAGATACGCCACTGTTGCAATGGCATTTTGGATTCGACTTAGGCAAGTTCAACTGTATTTTTGTTTAAATTGATAGCTTTTAGTGAAGCAGTTGTAGTGGATTTTTAATAGGGTAATTATTACCTGTGTGTCATGTGTAGAGGTTTACATACAGAAATATTATGAGCTATTAGCAATGTCTTCAATGCTCATTATTAGCTACTGTATTAGTAAATTTATCAACAAAACAAATAGGCTGTGTCAAGTCTGAACAAAAGTGTCATCACTGTATATAGGCTGTCATGTCAGAGCAGCAATGACATCAATGCATATAGGCTGTGTCAAGTCACAGTAGTAGTGTCACAGTATTGGCTGCCAAGTCAGAACAGAAGTGTCATAAATAAATATTGACTGTGTCCAGTCAGAGCAGCAGTATCATTAATGCATATAGGCTGTGTCAGGTCAGAGCAGCAATATCATCAATGCATATAGGCTGTGTGTTGTAGCTACTAAACTTTGTCATTTTGCTTCAAACCTTTCCTTTTTGTGTTGTGGCTACTGAGCTTTATTTTATTTTAAAGCCTTCAAAACCAAATACTATATCTATGTTGTAAGTTATTGTTATTAACTTATAAATGGAAAATTTTATTTTGTGTGAAATGATCAAATTTGTTGCTGATCTGTCGCATTCTGTATACTGTAAAGGTGAATCGTGTTAGAGATCCAGTGATGTATAGTAATCCATTAGTACTCAGGGATTTGGTGCAATAAGGGAATATATATAGAAAGAAAAATAATGCTAATAATAATTATCTTTATTTTTCTACAATTAATATTTGTAAATTGCTGTAAATTCCTTTATAGCATTTAATAGGATTTGAATGTGTCAGTATTGCTATTGCCACACAATGTACATGAATTGTCAATCTAAATTCATTATTATTATTATTACTACTGTATTATTATTATTATTATTATTATTATTATCATTATTATTGTTGTTGTTGTTGTTGTTGTTGTTGTTGTTGTTGTTGTTGTCGTCGTTGTTGTTATTATTAGGCCTATTTTTTATTCTAGATAGCCATGTTTTCTAAAGCCAATGTTAGTCTTCCATACTTTAGTTCTAGGTTATTATTGATATTATTATTTACTATTGCACTTGAAACACCAGTTAAATGGCCCTTTTCGTTGTGTACAGACGAAAGTGCGCCTATTGCAGCTGATTGGACAAGAAGTCACCGTTGCAAGTCCTGGGTTATTCTCTACCTTTATATTTTATTCACCATTATAATGTATTTCAGAATAAATATATGATAATAATTTAGTAGTGCTATTGTGAATGTATACTAATGTTGAATTACCTGCAGTTCGATATTGTGTCAACTACTTATCCTAAGATTCTCGTTTATGAAAGGAATAGTATTGGCCAAATTTTTGTCATGAAATAATGTTGACCATATTATGATATCTAAACTCACCAAGACGTGGCGTCATAGTCCACATCGTCTTGAAAGCCACCTCATTTCCATTAGCACTAAGTGTATATGTGTTAATCTTATAACTGTGCTTATTACTCAATTAATGGGGTCGTGTGTTTCCCATATTTCCTTGTGTTATCTTGTTAAAATGGTACCACGTTGTTACACAGGATTATCAATTTCATACAATACAGTGTTATAGTCTGAGAAATAGATTGCTTATAGTAGTTTTCCAAAAATCCGAAATATCAAGAGCTATGTACACTCAAGTGCTGCAACACTTACTCACTCACAAGAATATCTCTAACAAATTCTAATAATTCTAAAGCGGCGCTCGAGGTCCTTTATTGGATCATATGGTATGCAACCTTTCATCATTTTAATCACATATTGTATTTAATAATGTTGATTGTCTTTGCCAAAATGATTTATCATTACAATGTATTCATTTTTGAATTAACAGTTTATCCTGCCTCAAATGAATATATTTTTGCAACTAACAATGTGTATTCGTAAAATATGCAATACAAAAAACTGGTAATTGTGGTATGTAATAAACAAGTGAATTTCTAAATTGTAACAGTAGCAATACATTAAAATATTTAAAAATATTTACTGTTCAATTGTCTAGTCTAAGTTGTGTTATACATTTCTCTTTCTATTACTTGAACAACTCGACGTGTAATATTTCATCAACAATTACACAATTTATTTTTTATTTAGACAAAATATACATTGCAAAAAAAAGCAATACAATACAAAAACAAAAATTGTAGCTGCGTAAGTAACTGTCGTCAAATAGGTGTGCACCTCCAATTAAAGACTATTACAGTAGTATAACGTAAACATGTAACTAGTAGTCATTCTGCACTTACTAGGCATATATGAAATGTAGTTATTTTAGTGGAATAAGGTAATAAAGTATGCCTAAACAACTTGATATTGAAATACCAAAACACATTACAAAACATATGCCAATGTAAAATGTTTGAAACTAACTAAAGAAAGTTGATTGGCTCGATCTTTATTTATCTTAAATTCTAATCATGCAATTCTTTCTAAACTTTCCTTTTGCAGTTTTTCACCCGTAACCACTTCATGGTCCAAATCATACTTAACTTCTCGCACTAAAGTCCTACTATAGGTAGTACTAAAAAGACCCTAAGCAGGTATTTTGTTTTACTGTAAAATTTGCAAATATTAATTTAAGTATTTATAGAATGAAGCTCAGAACGTTGATTTTCACATTCAGCTCTGTAACATTAAATTTAAAAGGGGGTGGGGAGCGGGGAGCGGGGAATAAGACAAGTGGCCATACTGTATATTGCTTATTTGACCTTTCTTGAGTTCGGGGAAAAATACTCTAAAAATTCAAAATGTTGTGATGTAAGGATAATTACAGAAACAAAACATGATATGATGAGACGCCAAAATCAGGTGAAAATGAGCCTGATTACTACAGTAATCAAAAACTGGCATCCCAAGGGAATTTGCAATCATAGTGTTTGGTAAGGCAGCAAACGTATCAAAACGAATTGGTGTCATACGTCGCATTAATTGATGTGACGTATGACACCAATTCGTTTTGATACTTTTGCTGCAATATGACTTATATGATCCTTCCATGTAATTGAGAATCAAAAATTACACTCAAATATTTAAATGATTCCACTCTTTCTATGCAATCCCCATTATGGACAAGGGAAATATCTTTAAATTGATTAAGAATGTGAATAGTACCAAAAATAATAAATTTAGTTTTATTAACATTGAGAGTATAGTTGGTTAAACTTTAACCATTTAGATATTTTGTTAAAGTTTGAATCTAATTCATGTTGTAGTGTGATAGGGTTAGAGGAGCTACATAAAAGAGTGGTATCATCGGCATACATTACACTTTACAAGAAACAACATCGGAAGAGCCTATAGACAATATTGTGAAGTCGTGAGTTTTTGTGATCGTTTACGTACGCAGTAACAAAGAGAGGGTTTAGTCGACGTCAATTCAATCATGGAGGAATAATTCAATTGAATTAATAAACGCAACGCGACGACTCAGATACTCAGGTACTTTATTTCGTCTATACAATCAAGACATTTGTTTTCCGCCAGCTTTAAAAAACTAAAAACAACGAATCAATACAATGAAGTAGTAATAAATAGATGCTTAAAGACATATAAGAAAACAAAAACACTGCAAATAGGCCGTGAGCTCGAGCCAAGACCTCAAAAAGGCTTAATTTTTTTACATCCGTAGTACACACCGTGGAAGTATAAAGAACAAATAAATGAATAAATAAATAAAAAGGGCCCCCTTTTCCTTAGGAACGGCCTTTTATGGTCTTAAATTAGGATTTATGAGCAAATTAGACATCGCATGGCTGTAATTTTCGAAACAGAACATAATAATAAAGAGTTATAATATAATACAATATGTCTTTAAAAACAGCTTTCTTGTAAAAGTCACATTTTCATGATGGATTGTTATTAGTATTGTATCTATTGCGAATAATTCGAATAATGATATCTCAGATTCACTAGTAAATAGAAATAAACAATTATATATTATAAAATTAATACGACTAATATTTAACAGGAGAATAATAATAATAATAATAATGATGATGATAATAATAATAGTAATAACTTGGTATTATTATTATTATTATTATTATTATTATTATTATTATTATTATTATTTCCCTAAGTTTAATTTAAACGGCTAATATTCAGTAGGATAATAATAATAATAATAATAATAATAATAATAATAATAATAATAATAATAATAATAATAATAATAGTAATAACTTGGTATTAATATTATTATTATTATTATTATTTCCCAAAGTTTAATTTAAACGGCTAATATTCAGTAGGATAATAATAATAATAATAATAATAATAATAATAATAATAATAATATAATAATAATAATACTATGAAAATTAATACGGCTAATATTCAAAAATAATAATTATAATAATAATAATAATAATAACTTGGTATTATTATTATTATTATTATTATTATTATTATTATTATTATTATTATTTCCGTAAGTAAATAAACACATCTGTATCTGGGTTATTGACAACAATGCGACTGTTTGACTTTGCTGCACACACACTGTGCAGGATCATCCTTGTGTCAGCTTCCTCATGATTGCAAAATAGATTTGGCACAGGTAGCACCTCTACTGCAACGCCGTTGTTTCGAATAACACATAACATGACATTCATTGCTAGGCGCTACGAAAACATGGACATCAGAAAGAATCTCCCTTTCACACATTCTCCACTCTTAAAAAAGAAAGTCATCGTAATCATCA